GATTGGGAAGATAAAAAGGTGGTTGAAATTTGTGAAGTAAATTTTTTTATTTGAAATCAAGCCAATTCAAACAAACCCATATATGTTTCTGATAAATAAGGGATAACAAGAATTGGAGATGCCTTGCTTGATCAACATGAGAAACCTAATGTGGAAAAATAAGTGTGGTACTATGGCTTATATGTACTAATTTATTATGTGTACTTGTTATTATCTGTCAATCCAATTTTTTTAAATTAATTTTTTTGAAAGATAGTTTTATTTTTTTGTTCCAATAAAACTGCATTTGTAGCTCTCTTATAATGCATAGACGACACGGTGGTGGAGTTTAAGATGCACTTTTAGTTGTGTTTAATTTCTATTTTTGCCCAAGCAGCATTCTTCGTGTAGCATGGATTAAACTTCATGTTTCTTCATTTTGTTGGAGTGACTATTTGTTGCAGGGATTGACATTCTTGATCTGGTTATGCAGTGCCAATCCCAGTTGAAAACGCTTTATGCTGAAGGAATCAGGGGATGCCATTTGGAGTTTGCTGCATACAATTTACTCTGTGTAATCCTGCACTCTAACAATAACAGAGATCTCCTGTCTGTGATGTCAAGGTTGTTAGCTAAATCTGGAATTAGTCGTTCACAGATTAGTTGTCTTTTTGCCGATTACTGTTCTCAGATTAACTGTACCCATAGGATCTTTATCAAGAGACACACCACCTACTTCCAACAGTGCTCAGCCCTCCCTTTTTTACATTCTTACTCAGAGAGGAGCTATCTGCTGAATCTTGCTGGCTCTTATTTTACTGTGTCTCCCTCTAGTAGCATTGCCTGAAAGGCTTATTGGTTTCTGTTAACTTAGGTCAATTTAGCTGTCGGTGATGTTGCTTATTTTAGACTTTGGAATTGTAAATCTTTCGTAATTTCAATGTACGACATACTTATAAACAATATCATTTTCGCTATGTACTTGCATCCTGCTGGAGCTATTCTGTATAGTCATGTCAAATATTCATTTTGACAGTAGAAACTGGATTGAATCTGCATTGTGCATGAGCTTTTATCAACTGTAAATCATGTTAGACTGTATGCTTCCAGATTAGATCATGTTCATGCAGTGGATACAATTGTACTGAAGTGTTCATAATTAGTGTGCCTAGAGAAGTTTATCACTAGTTTTATTTTTATTTTGCAAGATGAGTTTTGAATGTTTTTGACGTAACATTGATTGCACAGATTATCAGCTGATGCTAGGAAAAATGATGCTGTGAAACACGCTCTTGCAGTTCGTTCAGCAGTGACTTCAGGGAATTATGTTCTGTTTTTCAGGCTATACAAAACAGCTCCCAACCTTAGTACTCTTCTCATGGGTGGGTAGAATTCAAGTCATCATGCTTATTTCACTTCTCCTTATTGTCCATTCTTATTACCTAACACGATGAGTTCATTATACTTGGTGAACTGCAGATCTTTATGTTGAAAAGATGCGATATGCAGCAGTAAAGTGTATGTCTCGTTCATATCGTCCTACTATTCCCGTCGCATACATTTCTCAGGTTCTGGGCTTCGGTAATGCCTCGCCCACAACTGAAGCAAGTGATGAGAAGGAAAGAGATGGAGTTGAAGAATGTGCAGAATGGTTGAAGGCTCATGGTGCATGCCTATCTAATGATAATGCTGGGGAGATGCTTCTTGACACAAAGGTATGTCTTTTCCCTCTCCTAGTGCATGAAAGACTTGATAGCTGTTATGGGCTGGGAAGGGGGGAAATAATCGAGCCAAAAGAGTCCTGGTTATGTTTTTAAATTGGACAGCTTTTCTCCTTTCTGGTTCATTTCTGTTTGAAGCTAAAACTATTTAATTGGCCTTTGAATGTTCAGGTATCTATGTCAAGCCTCTACATGCCAGAACCTGAGGATGCCGTGAGCCATGGAGATGCTAATCTTGCAGTTGACGATTTTTTGGCACGGAATCCTGTATAAGTTGGTATGGTTAAATGAAAGAGTCGTCTGAAGGTCCTGTCTGGGGGGAATCTGATTAAGCCATCACAGAGATCAGTTCCAAGAAATTTTGCTTGGAGATTTGCGCAGGGCAGCTGTTCAATTAGCGGGGACGTGGACTTCTGTTATATCAACTGTATGTTGTGAGATATTATGAATTGAAAGGGAAAGGAAATGTGAGTTCCCATTGAAGTGCTTCTCCCAGTGTACTGATGGGATGCACTTGTACTTCCAACTCATTAATAGATATCAGTGTCTCGAAAGAAATTACCATTCTTTCCAGGGATGATAGAGAACTATACAAATGTATATTGGAAGGGAAAATGAAATAAGCAATAGTAACGTTTACACTGTAGGTTTGGACCTAGAGTCAGGAAGATGGCATGAGCCTGACTTGTTTGTATGATGGCTATTGAATATCATCAATTTTGGCGGTTCATCACTGGACTTGATTTTTCCTGCCTCTTGAAGCTTCCACTGTCGAGGATTCTTATATAAATATTTGTTAAAACTCCGTCTATTAATTGTTTGGTGGCTTAACATGATGTAGCTATTTTCTTTGCTATGATGCAAATTATGTGCTTTGCTACCGCGCATGCTCTTATCGTTACTACTACACTGTTTTCCTCCTCTACATCGTGCATGCTTGCATTACATGGTGATGAAGAGTCACAGAGGAACTGATTGTTTGCATCTTATTATTGCGTTGTTGCAGGTACTCAGCAACTGCTAAGATTTCTTGCACTCTGATTCTTGCGTCTCGCTATTGCGTTTCAGACGTTTAGTAAGTGCTAAAATTACTTGCGCACGGTAAATAATTAAGGGAAAATCGTCTAAAACGTCCCTCACATTTTGTAAAATAACTTTTTTCGTCCCTCACTTTTAAAAGTGTAATTTTATATCCCTTACATATTCACATTGGACAAATTTAGTCCCTAACTAGGTTTTCGATCATTTTTTGGCCGGAATCCATCATGTGAAAGGCACGTGATCATTTTTTAAGGGTAAATTTGTCAAATTATGTTTTACATAATTTGATCTATAGTCCTCCATATTTTATAAAATAATTTTTTTCGTCCCTCATATTTTATAAAATGATTTTTTTCATCCATCACATTTCACAAAATAAATTTCTCCATTTCTCACATTTCAAAAAATGAATTTTTCATTTCTCACTAATTATGTGTGTGAATACATTTTTTTTAAACACATGTATATATTTATTTGATTTTGCTTAATAATAATAGCATAAACACATGTATGTAATTGGGCCCAACTTGTGGGCTATCTTCTCTTTTTGTATGATTATGACTAATATTTACTAATAGAATCTTAATTTGCATATTCTTATTGTATTTTGACTGAAAATAGCTTTATTGGCCAACTTGACAATGAATGCAAGATTATTTACTAGCTAATACCAGATGAAATCAAATGATCACGTATAATATATGGTATTCGTATTGTTAAGTGAAATCAAATAGACACATACATATATTTATGCTATTCGTATTATTGAGCAAAATCAAATAGACATATACATGTGTTTAAACAAAATGTATTCACACATTTTTTTTTTAGGGTTTCCCTCACATACATAATTAGTGAGGGATGGAAATATTCATTTTTTGAAATATAAGGGATGGAGAAATTCATTTTGTGAAATGTGAGAGATGAAAAAATCATTTTATAAAATATGAGGGACGAAAAAATTTGATTTATAAAATGTGGAGGACTATAGATCAGATTATGTAAAATATAATTTGACAAATTTACCCTTAAAAAATGATCACGTGCCTTGCACGTGATGGATTTCGGCCAAAAAATGATCGGAAATCTAGTTAGGGACTATATTTGACCGATGTGAATATGTAAGGGATATAAAATTACACTTTTAAAAGTGAGGGACGAAAAAAGTCATTTTACAAAATGTGAGGGACGTTTTGGACGATTTTCCCAATAATTAACCAGAGAGCAGGTTGTTACTGATGACAATTCCTAGTCTGATAGACTATCTTCTTTATTACCTGTGCACTTCGTCAATATGATTGAATTCCTAGTCTGTTGTAGTTATCGACGTCATCTCATTTAAAATGTTTTTTCATGGGTTTTAGCCTTTGACTCTTTGCAAAGTCCCATGTTCTAACTTCCAAGTGATTTTGGAAAAGCTCGATGAAAATAATCATCTAAAACCATGAATATTAGTCTCCGTTTGAGATGCCCAGATGCCCTTTCCTCAAAACTTAAAATTTTATTCATTTACCATCTAGTTTTATCCTCGATAAATTAACTCCATTTTTACGTCCAAATTCAATAATCATTCGAGGCTACAAATGTATGTAAAGAGAGAAAAAGATTATTGAATCTTTAAAATCTCTATGCGTCCCTGCCACTTTAGTGGGCCGGAGAAAGTGGATGCTTCTTAGACATCAAATTAATGTCCGGCCTATACATTTGTATAACTTACTCTATTCTAATTTAGGAGGCAAGGAGAGTTTAAGGAGGCTGTGATAGGGGACTAGCGAGTATACGGACCTAACTAGATCAAAAAAATATTCTGACATCATCTTTAAATTTTTTCGTTGCAGGTGAAGTTTGAACTCTCACCTAGGGGACAGGGAGAGTTTAAGGAGGCTGTGATATGGGACTAGTGAATATACGGACCTAACTAGACTAAAATAATATTCTGACATCATCCTTAAATTTTTTTCACTGCATGTGAGGTTTGATCTCTCTCCTACGGCCCAAACCCTCTGCAGGTGAGGTGCAGGTGAGGTTTGATCTCTCTCCTACGGCCCAAACCCTCTGCAGCCCAAACCCAAAGAGGACTTAAGCACCTCCCTGCCAGTGCCAGCCATTGATCCAGTGGTTACTAACCTGATTTCTATATTGACGTTTTGAGATTTTTTTTTTTGCCCAGTTAGCTTTCCCTTTTTCTTTTCCTTTCTCGGGGAAAGGAAAAAAAAAAGGATAAAAAGAATGCTAATTAACATGGTGAAAGAAAGGGAGTACTAGTAGGAGGAGTTGAAAATAGCCAACACCTATAAATTCAAGAACGCAAAAAGATTCAGAATTTTACATGCTTACAATTACCAACCCTTCTGAATATTAACTTTGTCAGTCTTCATTTGTCAGCAGAAGAAGAGGAGGAAGAAGCTGATGACTGGGTCCGAGGCCAAACACTTACTTTCTCTTTCTCGTACTTAACGTACAATGCCGAAGCCGCCGCCATGAAATAAACCTGAATTAGAATTATAGCCGGCGAATGGTATTTTATCACCCCCTGACCCGTTGCCAGCTCCACGAGAATCAAGGCGGTTAGGCCGATAAGAGCAATTCGCCCGTTGACCCGCTCAGAGTACGGGCTGAACCCGAATTCCACATTCAGCCCTTCTGAGACGGCCTCCTTCAGGGGCACCGGAGGGAGGTACATCCCGGAACCGGAGCTTGAGCTTGAGGCTCCCTTTTTGCCCTTCCGGGTCTTCCGGACCTCCGCTTTCTTTCCGGTTCCGCTTTTGTAGCGGAGCCGGACTTGGGAGAGGCGGTTCTCGAAGACGTCTGAGTCGGAGCCCGGGGATTCTGTTTGGGTCTGGTCAGTTTCGTCGGAGGAGGAGTCATCGGAAGTGGCCCGAGTGATGATGGTGAAGGAATGGCTGGGAGGCGCGTGGAGTTTGAGTGGAGAGCAAGTGCGTGGGGATGATGATGGAAATAAGGGATTTGGGTTAGAGAGCTGGAATGTAGAGGATGGCAATGTCGCCATTTGCGCTTCCCTTTCTTTGGTTTCTTGGATAAGGGGAGTATCCTTCTTTCAGTCTTCTCTTTTGCATTTTTGCCTTGAAAACTTTTTCTTTTTTATTTTCGCCCCTTTTGAAAAATAAATCCCTTGGAAAAGGGAATCATAAATTTCTTTGGACCAGTATGTGACTGACACTGAAAAGTCTTTATAGTGGGAATGTGCAACCGTGGCAATAGGCAGCATTATGTGTTCGAATATCCACTTATAAATAGGAGGAGGAAAAGAAAACCCATTTTTTCCTTTGGACAAAACAAAAAAAAAAATAGCTTTGAAACTCTTCGAAAATTTGTCACAATTGAGGAAATTCGCATTTTATTTCTAAAAAAATGAGACTAATGGCGTTGACTTATCCTGAACTCTCATTTTCCTTCTCATATTTTTCTGTTCTGCATTTACAATTTTAACTATGGACCTTTCTTTCCATGCTACTTGTGAGGGTGATATTTTGTAGCTACAACTAGAAATATTGCTAGCATACAGGGAAAAAAAAATTAGCACATTATTAAATTCGAAGAACAATTATTGTCATTCAAGGACAACCTCAAAGTAGGCAAAGCCATTTGCAATTTTTCAGCCAGCCCTTCTAAACTGTTAGGAGTAGTATTTAACATCCAGCCCTAAAATTTTTTATACTTGTTCCTAGCTGTCGTGGCGGATAGAAGAAACTGTTACTACTATTGGTTTTGTTGCATGATGTCTGTTAAGAAACATATATATACACACACACACACACACAAAGTCTGAAAAGATTGTGGAAGATACGAATTTCAGGAAAGTCTGCTCTATTAAGCTTGTCATTATCCTTGCACGACGGTTCGTTTCCCTCACCAAATTATGGTACATTTTTTGCTAACACGATGTTTATGGTACATTTTTTGCTAACACGATGTTGCATTTTGTGCACCCTGCTTAAAATATGTAATTTGCTACTGACCATTCACCAATTAATCTCTAGTTTTATGCTAAATACCATGCAACTAACACATTACCTGTCGCTGGCATGATTCAATCAAAGAAGTAAAAAAAAAAAAAAAAAAAAAAATCAAAGCATGTTTTTGGAGAGAACCCGGAAGTGTAAAATTTGTTTACCAAGTACAGGCTAAATCATTTTTCTCTTCAAAGATTGTGAAAACAGAAAACTCTTCTGGGGTGATTTGTTAGAGAATCATTTACTATTAACTGGTCCATGACATACGAATAAACGATATCCTAAGCACGCATAAACTTTAAGGCACGAACACATTCATTGGACAGTTTTCTTCTTTTTCTTTTTGGAAACTAGGTTGAAATACTAGCAGTTGAGGTGCTTAGTCCCTGTTTTAACTTTCAAAAGGTGTAAAATATCACATATGAATATGATGAGATTTCATTTCCCCGTTTGAGAAAATCCAGCTTTTAATGAGTTTGGAAGGTTTTAAAATTGCAGGTTCATGATACAGATGCGAATGCATGGGGGAATTTTCTGTGCCTTCGGAATCCCAAATCTGGAAATCATCATTTTTTCATACATGTATATAAGCTCTTTCATGTCGATAATTATATTCTCTTTCCCGAGCAGAAAAGACTAGACTAATTCCCTCTCACGCATTGACATTTTACCATTACCGCTGATAAGTGGCTCCTTCTCTGTGCATGAGCCTTCAAAAGACAAATAATTGTACACAACCTAGACTCCAGCTCATACTACTTGAATACTCTGATCATCTGTTCTCAGAAAAGAAGCTTCACATGCTATGGACAGTTGATACACAATCAATCACTGATTCACTTTGCCATGCCTTTGACTTCTACAACTTAAGATTTGAGAGAATAAAGAGGCACCAAGGCCTTGCAGCAGGTGATAGAAGAAGAGTATCCCTTCAGTCTCAAGTCTCAACTAGTAGCTAGACCTTGACCAATGGCGCAGATGGAACCTGCTACCACCTCCACTGCCTGTGCATCACCAACTCCCCTTTTGGCGAGCTTTGGTGATCCAGAGGGGGAGGACAACGGCCAGGCAATTGCAGCTCACCTTGCCGTCGAAATTAGGAACCCCAACATCCAAAATCAGGCTTATCCTCTCACTCTCTCTTTCAGTAACCTCTCCTACAGTGTCAAAATAAGCCATAAACTCAACTGGTCGAGCATCATCCCCTGCAGCAATAAGAGCAACCACCCTTCTGAGGAGCCAGAGACAAAAGTTCTGCTAAATGATATCTCTGGTGAGGCACATAATGGTGAAATCTTGGCAGTTCTAGGTCCCTCGGGGTCAGGAAAATCAACCGTGATTGATGCATTGGCTAATCGGATATTTGTAGGAAGCTTAAAAGGAAAGATCACTCTCAAGTCTCAATGGCGAACAAATGGATCCGAAATTACTCAAAGCCATCTCTGCCTACGTTATGCAAGATGACCTCCTTCTGCCAATGCTCACTGTTGAAGAAACCTTGATGTTTGCAGCTGAGTTGAGGCTCCCTCAATATCTCTCGAAATCCGAAAAGATAAAAAGAGTTCACAACTTGATCGATCAATTAGACCTTCGGAAAGCAGTTCGAACCGTTACTGGAGATGAAGGGCATCGGGGTATGGCTGCAAACGAGCCGAACCGAGTCGAGTTTTGAGCTAATCGAGCCGAGCCTCGACTAAATTTTACCAAGCTCGAGCTCGAGCTCGAGCTCGACGAGCTGGCAATTTTCGAGCTCAAGCTCGACTCGAATCAAGTCGAGCCGAGCTCGAGCTCGAAAAAAATAAAAAAAATTATTTTATTTTTAAAAAAATAAAAAAAATAATATTTTTTTCTGAATAAATAATAAAATATTAAGGATATATACGTAATTTCACTATGAAAATAAAAAATTAAAATATATTTATATATAATATACGTAATTTTATTATTAAATAAAAATAAAAAATATATATAAATATATATACTCAAGCTCGCGAGCCGGCTCGCGAGCTAACGAGCTTAATATTCTGAGCTCGAGAGCTCGCGAGCGGCTCGATTCGTTTGCAGCCCTACATCGGGGAGTATCTGGTGGAGAACGTCGGCGAGTTTCCATTGGAATCGAGATCATACACAATCCTATTCTTTTATTTCTTGATGAGCCCACCACAGGGCTTGACTCAACTAGTGCTTTCATGGTGGTGAAGGTTTTACAGCGCATTGCTCAGAGTGGAAGCATTCTAATCATGTCTATACGCCAGCCAAGTTTTCGAATTCTTGGCCTATTGGACCGTTTGTTATTCTTGTCTCGTGGACAAGTAGTCTACGGTGGCTCTCCATCCAATTTGCCTTTGTTTATGGAGAATTTTGGGCATCCAATACCTGCGGATAAGAACCCTTCAGAAGCTATTTTGGATCCCATTTGCGATCTTGAATATTCTGGTGATGGGATTAGCAACATGGTCCAATTCAATCAGATATGGCAAAAACAAAACCTGAGCATAGGAATAGTACCAGAAGTGGAACCATCTGGTGTCACGCATGGATTGACATTGAAGGAAGCAATCAAGTCCTGCATTTCACGAGGCAAATTGGAGTCCAGGACAACCAACAAAGATGGTATTACTCCTCGTGTTGAGATCCCAAAATATGCTAATTCCTTTTGGACTGCAGTCTGTGTTATCGAAACGATCATTCCTCCATTCCTGTCGAATGCCAGAGGTTTTTGCTAGTCGATTCGGAGCAACCCTGATTACAGGATTTATTGTGGCATCATTGTTTTGGCAACTTGATAATTCGCCCAGAGGATATCAAGAAAGAGTAGCATTTTTGTCATTTGTGACAACTACAGTCTATTACATTTGTGCTGATGGATTGGCGGTTATACTCCAGGAGAGGAACATAATGCTAAGGGAAACAAATTACAACGTCTACAGACTATGCTCCTATTGGTTCTCTGACGCATTAACCTGGATTCCGTCGCTCTTATTCCTCTCAATTACATTTTCCATCACTACATTTTGGGGACCCGGTCTCCAAGGTGGATTCACGGGGTTCTCCATCTATTTCCTAGTCATCTTGGCTTCATTTTGGGGGCGAATTCATTCGTTCTTTTTCTGTCAGGATTGCTTCCTGATATAAGCCGTGTATACATTGTTATCGCCTCGACTCTGGGTTCCTTTGCTCTCTTCTGTGGGATATGCGCAACTCGCGATCAAATCCCATCCTACTGGATTTGGTTCCACTACTTATCCCTCAAGAAGTATACTTATGAGGCAATAATGCATAATGAATTCGATGATCCCAGAAGATGTATTGTTAGAGCAATTGAAGTTTTTGATGAAACTCCCCTTGGCACAGTTCCGGTTGGATTGAAACAGCAGCTGTTGAACGGCATGGTTGAAGCCTTGGGCACGAGTACTGCAAGCTCGACGTGCATGGCCACTGGACCAGACCTAATGAAGCAGAGAGGGATGGCTGATCTTGGAAAGTGGGAATGCTTTTGGATCACCGTTGCTTGGGGATTCTTCTTTAGGATGTTGTATTACTACTCCACTTTGTTGTTTGGCAAATAAGAATAAAAGAAAGTAATTAATTTTTTTTTTTTTTTGTCAAAAGGTCATCATAAAAGAAAGTAATTAATGGACTCCTGTGAAAATGTAACACAATGTCATGATCATTATATTATATGGCGTCCTAATGTTGCAGGGAAACACCTTAATTACTTTCTTACTTACTTTCTCTGTGATGTGTGTAATGCCTACTGAACCCATCCATCGCCATGATCTTGTCATCATACAACTATGATACCGAGATGGAAGTACGTGAACAAGATATATAGGTCGTTGTTGAAACGGCGGCTTTGCTGCATCTGCTATGGAAATTGAGAGGCAGAGTATGAAATGCTTTCCTTGCCTAATTTAGTAAAGTGGTACCATTTATTTCTAATTCTTTTGACAAGTGGTGTTACAATTGATAGTAGTTCTTACACCATCATAAAAGTTTAAACTATAAGGAAGCAATTAATGTAGTGAATTGGTCAAGTACATTGGAGTATACACGGTAAACAAACCTATTTAACTAGATTTTATCCGCCCATAAATAGATAGATATGAATATCTTAAGTTTTTGCATATAAATATTATTAAATAACCCAACTAACTCATTTAGAATTATCTTCCCTCAAATCTCCTCTCTTCCCCCACCCATTTTTTTTGGTCAGATTCTTCATTTTATCATGATATTAACTATTTTTGTTTCATTATTATTATTATTATTATTATTATTATTATTATTTGTTGGTTTTATCTTATTATTTTATTTTCTCTTAGTTTGTTAACTTACTCATTTTTCAGCATTACTAATTTATGACAAGTTTTAGTTTTTTTTCCTACCTTTTCAAAATAAAATTTTAAATTTACACATGAAAAAATGCTAGGGGTTCAATATTTTTGGATTAAGTTTTTATACTAAATTTTATAGTATTTAGTTTCAAATTTTTATATTCTTATTATTCAAGTATTAAATAGTATGTAATTTTGCAACATATAGTACGAAAAGGAAAAAAATTGGTAATTAGACTTATTGAACATTATAAGTAAATATTTAAAACTAATGATGGGTGTAAAGGGTGGTATAAATTGATAACTTAGTTTACAAAAAGTTAGAATAAATGGGTTATAAATGGATGGTTTGATTACCCAATTCCTTTTTTAACTTACCCATTTATATCTATTTAATATTACCCATTTATACCCATATAATTAAATAGATATAAATGGGTTGACTCACTTATACCCATTACCCATATTAATCAACCCAAATCCGTCCAAATCACCCATTTTGACACATCTACATTGGAGTGATTTCTATACATTTATTTCTAGACTAGATCTACTGAAAATCGGAAAAAAAAAAAAAAGATGGCAGAACAGGAAAAATGGAAAAAGTAAAACTAATCTAAAAGAGACTACTAGCACTAATCAATTATTGAGCCCGCCCAAGTGTCAAAACCCACCCAAAAAGCATTTTTAACCATCCTCACTGAACGGATTAAGCCCACCAGCCCAATGACAATACCCACACACCACTCCAAACCAACGGCACCTCCACTCTCCACCGGTCCCCCTGGCTTCCCCGCCGCGATAACCCTTCTGCATCGCCTTCTCCACCATTTGACCCCGTGATTTTGGCTGCTGGCGGCTCCCGGTGGTGTTGAAAAAGTGTGTTATTGTCTTTGACGAGGTAATGGAAAAGTGCGGCGTATTGTTCTGAGTAGAGGAAAGCTAAATTTTCAGTTTCATTTTTCAAGGAAGTCGTAATCGTGGATTTGGTTGGACTTTTTAGTTTGCGGTGAAAAGAAGTTCACAGGTAATTGAAATGAATAAGCTAATAGAGTTCGGGAGGAAAGCGATGTTCTATGTTAGGGTCCTTTCGGGCTACGAGGAGCGACGAATTCGATCTTACCGGTTGCAGCTTGAACAACGCCTCCAAAAGGTACCTTTCCTCTCCCTCCAGCTTGTTACAGTTTTTATTTGATTCTTCCTTTTTTTTTCGGGTGCTGTTAATTGTGAAAAATGTAGTGGATAATTTTTAGAAATGTGCAGACATTTTGGTAGTCACCTTCTTTACGAATCTGTTGTCTAAAAGGGAAATTCGAAAGTTGTTAGCTTATTTGATGATCCACTGCTACAAGAATGTGCTGTTGGAGCACTTTAGGAACATGATTAATGTGCTTAAATATGGATCCATCACTGCTCATGTGCTTAAATGTGGATGTCCTGGTGCTCAGCAGGCTGCTGCATCAGCAATCTGTAAAATTTGTGACTCCCATGTACTGGAAAATTTCGGTTAACGAGGCTGGTAGAGTTCATTGCTCAAAAACCACAGAGGGTAAAGATTATAACAGATTTTAGAATAAGTAGCTCCACAAACATTAAAATTTGATTCAGTGTAGCTGGTTGGATCCTCTGCTTGTTAAGATATTGTAAGCTAGAGCAAACATGACAAATCATGTTGTGGAACAAGCAGTTTCTAAGCACCACGGCCTCAAAATACTGCCACGAATTTTACATTCTTTGTCTTGCCTTGCTCTCCTAGAGCAAAAAAGGTAAGAAACTTTGATTTAATGTGGCGATTGGTTATTTGAAAGCTTAGTGAAATGGGCATTGTGGTGGCTGATAAGCTACTTGAGCATTTGAAGATACAGAAGTTGAAGAGCTTCTTATCAAAAAGTAGAATGGAAATGCAACATCCATGCCCAGGGAATTGTGTTTTGATATGCAGTGAAATTTACTAGCTTGAAGATGAATGCAATTGTTGTTTTTCATCGATCTATAAATGTATATGTCATCATGGGTATCACTTTACTGTGTGGTTAGTGCCTTATCCAAGTAACCATGAGGTTGTGTTTATTTGATCTTAAGCATGTAGAACCTGGTTTTATAGTCAGTGATGTATACTTCAGCGGTTCCATTATGGTGGAAACTTTTATAGGCAGCGCAAATGAGGTAGCAATAGCATGTGGTGAGAACCTTTGCTATGAAGTTACTTTTTGAATATATGATTTTCAGCTCTGCCAAATTTGCTTATGGAGTGCCCAAACTACGTTTTCCATGTTTACAGTATATGTGCTTTCAGAATTTCCTTTGCTTCAGGGATGGTTGTTTGTGGAATCCTCCTTTAGTCTTTAATTAATATGTCCCTTGTCATATTTGGAGCAGGCCCAAGAAAGGAAGGAAGCTTTGAAACAGGTTCCTGAGCAAATAATTTTGTCTGAAGTCAAGCGAATGGTGGAAGATATGCAGGCATTGAATAAGAAGCTTGAAGAAACGGTGAGTTCTTTTCTCAACACCCTTTTTGTACTTAGTTTAACCATGGCAATAATAGCATGGTTATAACGACATTATTGGCAGCACCCTTTTCCCTTGGTTTATTCTCCTCCACATTTTTATATGCCCCCCTTGTTTTGTGACATCTTTTTACTTGATTATCTTTTGATTATTGCAGGAGGCTGCCATTGAAGATTATTTCAAGCCAATCGACAAACAGGCAGATATTATCATGAAAATGCAGCTCGAAGGAGAAGAGAGAAAAATGAAGGATATGATGCGTGCCATGCAACAGCAGGCTTTACTAGAGAAGGCTGAAGCCGAAAAAACTGCACATGGTCAAACTACAGACATAAATCAACAAACGGAGGAGAAACAGCCTGCAAAACCATCTCATGCTGAACTGAGATGATTTGATATGCCTCTTTTGTAATTTCTTTAATAGACTTAAAAGTAAAAGTTTTTGGCCTCCTTTTTCAAATCTCTGTCGCCTGCTTGTATATTTTTATATGAATTGGCTGTGGTATTTAAAAACGAAAGAAAGAGATTTTCATTACCCAGCTTGAATAATATAGGTGCCTATCTTGTGTACCGCTGATGTTAGAACCCTTAAAGAACAATTACTCATTAGTATGAACTGCACGTTATTCCTCGCTTAAAATGATCGATCTTGTTCAATGTGGGATTGATGAATACAATTTCTGGTTCCTGACCTGATTATGTCGTTGTTACCTTGTCATTGATCTTCACATCGGTGTATTATGAGTAATCATGCCTCATGGTCTCGTGTTTTAATGTTCAAGCTCAAGCAATTGTGTTGGCAGCAGCGCAGTGTGTTCTGCATCTCCACACTGGATATGTATGCTCATCATTGTTCTCGACTTACTTTAAAAACCTGTTTGAACTGCTATCTTTACGACATTTTGTAGGAAAGTGTATTATAGCGATTTGATGTACGTGAAGTTAAAAAATGATTGATTTGATATATGTAAGATAAAAAAGTGATTGAAAAATGTGTTCACGGAAATGTAAAAAGTTTGTTGGCAGAAAATCACAATCCAAACTTGTATATCATGACGTAGACATAATCCTATTTGATATAATTTCATCTCGAATCGTCTTCAATACATTAGCTGTGGACTCACAGGCTATGGAACTCACTCTAGCTCTCGCATTTTATTCATATGCTACAGAGCTAAGAACTTGCAGCAGAAGCAAATAAATTTTAACAAATAATTCACTATTCAAACAAACCAATATACTACTATTTGTGGAAGATTATCTCCAGATAAGAATCCAAAAAAAAATAAAAATAATCGTAAGCAGTTTTATGGTGCCATGATGTTGGAGTTTATTCCTTCCCATACGGTTAGAATTTGGACCTTGTGCAGTTTATTCCTTCCTATATGGTTGGAATTTGGACCTTGTATTTTGCAAAAACACAGTGATTAATATGGTTATGACTTGTGAATCAGTGCCATCTAGGCATCTCCTTGGTTAATGGTTTGCAAACTGCTCCTTCATATACTAATAATCATACGTGAGGAGTGATGATACATTAGATTATCACAAAGTATCTAATTCACTATTAGCCACGATTCTGACGTACTGACCATAATAGAAAACATGGAGAATTTTTCGGTTCGTGAATTAGCAAAGAATGGGTAGAGATGGACTGCAAAAATATGGTATGTTTGTTCCGAAGGAGGAGAATATCCGTTAGTAACATGTTTCGAAACCAAAGTATCGTAACAACCAATAATTTCGCCAGCGGATGAGTATGCAGCTGTCTGGACTAGTGGTAGTTTAGTTCTCCGAATTTCTTTCTTGACCTCTTTGGATTCCCCCCTCCCCTCCGGTACAGAGTAAGAGTAGGTATAGCTCAGTCTCGAACACCACCAAATTTCTAGCAAGTTAGATTGTGAATCAAATACAGGTACGTATACCTAGACCTAGCACCAAATTTATCGATAATCCATTTAGATTGGTGAATCTAAATATACTGCATGAATCCCTTATTCCGTCGTATAAATTGTAATAAAGCTATGAGCTAATGATATTTAGGGATAGTTGGCAAACTGCACCATATGTTCAGTTGGCAGTACGATCAAGCTAATAAATGAAGTGAGAAATTGTAAATATCATCGATTCGTGAGGCATAACAATCAGCAACTTGAGGTGAATTTTCGGCTTAGAAAAGTAGAGCTGCTGCTGGGTCTGTTTTTTTGCTGAATGGGACTGCATTAATTGCAGCTGAGAGATGGGACTCAAAACGAATTGAAATATATGGAATGGGTAATCAATCATTTTCCGAATTGAAGGAAGCAACCAAAAAGCACGGGTTGCAGGAATTTAGTCTTAGTCGAACTACCTCTTGACCTTTTTTACTACTCGTCATTACTCAGATGACAGCTACCGGTACTATACTCAAATCCCCCCTGCTCTAATCACTAAGGCAAGAAGACGTCAAGGTTCAAAGCTGATCGTCCCTTCGTTTTCCCAAGAACAAAAGGAAGGATCCATTCGTAGTTTTCATATTTCTACTACTGATAAGGATGAATACTTGGATCTATTCCAAAATGCAAAGAAACATACTGTTAATTGTTTAAAATTTTTATTTTGCTGTAGAATTTGGCCGACAGGGCTGGCTAACCCCTTTTTGGGTTTGACAAAAAATCTTCACAACTGAGGTTAAAGAAGAGACTTGGGAGGCTTGAAGCCTTGAACAAACCCTGAAATGAAATCTGGGTGCGGACTGTCGGAGGTGTCCTTTTCCCAAAACCTCAAATCACCATCCCGGGCCATTTTTTCCCTCGTTCACGAAACGGCTGTAGAAACATTAAGCGCTTCCATGACATGCAAGTTAAACAATATATAGAACAGCAAATATTTACCACCTAATTAAACTTCAGCATGAAATCCACCAGAAGGCTGGCATTATTAATCACTCAAGAAGCTACAATTATACAACTGTTGTTTTCAATCATTTTCCTTCTGCAGTAAAATGTGATTGATTATCTAGATTGGTTAGCAGTTGAATTAAAGCTTAACCAATCCTAATTTATGAATATTTTTCTAGCGTGTGAGTTTTATAAATTGATTTTTTTTTTTACAATGACATTGTATGCGTTAGCGAGTCTAAAAGCTAAATGGGGTACCTATAATTATCATAAGAAACCTCATTGGAGGTTAGTGTAGTTCCACTATTTTTGATTTTTCTTTGCGGGTTACGATTCTATAAAGAGTTATAGTACGAGAAGAGGTAGTACAAGAAGAGGGAAAGCGCTTTGGTTGGCAGAAATTTTGCTAATTCCTTCACGAAATTGCACCCAAACTTTGGACGTGATGCGCTTGCTTTAGATTTTACAAGAAATTTAAATTGGTTGCTTATAAAGTTGGGTTTTGCGTAGTTGAAACTTAGCATCAAAAAAGTCCAAATTAGGGTTCGGTTCCTACCCCAATCAATTCCAGAGCTAAAAGAAAGGTTTGATGTAGCAATTCAAGCTTAGAATTACAGAAACAAAGTCAGCAGTTACCAGTGTTCCGTCAGTTACTTGTAGACTAGGAGGGTTATAGTAAATAAAATAACCAAAATTAACTTTTGGTGGTCATCCTAATAATGCTACAATAAAATATTACTTGTGTTAAAAGTTTCCAAATGGGAAAAAAAAATGTAATTCAAATAGAGCAAGTCCAGCATACTTTTCATCAAATCTTTTGCAATAAAGTATGCTACTCCATTAACTATAAAAGGAAAAATTCAAATTGCTGCCAATTGAAACATTTCCTTTGGAACAGTACATAATCCACCCCTTGATTTTAATCCATTACAGTGCTTTCAAAAGAAACTAAAAATGGATTCTCAATAAGTCCACAGTATCCAATAATCAAACAAAACCCTTTACAACATTCTATGTCTGGTCATACATGACAGGCAGTAATTAATCCACTGGTCAACTTATCCTTGAATATTCAAAACAATTACTTGCAGAAATGAAATACGGTTAAACATGAAAAAATCCCTCCAAGATCTTGTTGTGAATGTGCAATACAGATACCAAGCACGGCATGGATCACAACTATGCAGTGTTAGATACCAGCTGCAATGCAATGTCTTGGTATGCCATCTAAATTTTTGACCAAGCAAGCACTCCTGTGCCCCTGCATGAATGATCTAGCGGCGGCGCTTCTCACCAGTGAATCTTGAGGTCACAAGTTCGAGTCTCCGCTCCGTTGGATTCCTCCGCGCACTTAACGTGTTTGGGCCGGGTTGGGGCGCCGGGCCCGGGCCGCAGGGGATTAGTCAGGCCCCGTAAGGATTGACCCAGACACCCCTGTGTCGAAAAAAAAAAAAGCACTCCTGTGCCAGTGTTTTACTACTAATTCATTTGTTAATTATTTGGTCAAGTTCTATTCTCAAGCTTGAAGATTTTTCCAGAAATTTTGAACTAAGAATTTTCGATAACCTTTGATCAAATGAGTAGTAATAGCTACTTACACACTCATGTCTAAAGTCTTTTGCTAAGTTATCGAAAATGTGTCATTAAATGTCATTAACGTGAACGTCTTGACTTTGTTTCAACGTAAGCATTAATCAGAAGCCTAATTTTCTTCATCTATATTTGGATTGACGCAATTATGCTCCTTTAATGTTGTGTTAGCGTTTGATAACCTTCGGTATAAGTGTCATTAAATGTTTTTGTTCTAATTGTGCCAAGCTGTTAGAGGTGATACATGGAGCAATTATAGGTGACCTCTGATTTATTTTCATTTGGATTGCAATTTTTAGGAGTTTTGTAAAAAAAATATATATATATGTAATGATTTGATATACGTAAAATAAAAAATTATTAAAAAATGTATTAATCAAAAATGTAAAAAATTTTCTACAAAAAACTACAATCCAAACAAAGCATATCTTCAATCCGAAAATTACAATGACATTCAACCCTCATTAATTTTATCTGCTTGTAGGATTAGTACATTATACATATTCTGATCGAAGATTTATGATCCTAGTTATCCATATAATATGGAGTTTAATATCCTGTTTTTCTTTTATTAAATACTGATCATATGAATCTCTTATATCGTTATTTTGGACTACAAAATCTAATTTTCTATTCCTGTCTTCCCCAATAAATAGGATCAGTCACATGATTCATATTATTCTACAACCATAATTTTTCGTTCTTAGTTAATTTTTATGTTTTTATGTTTCGGGTGACTGGCTGATGAGGCTAGGAAGCGCTTTTTTTTTTTTTTTTTTTTGTTTCTAAAGTGATCCAAGGGACTTCTGATGTTTCATGACCATCAGCTCTTGGGCTGGTGGCCACCATTAAGCCCTTAAGGCTTTGGTGGGGGTGAGAGGCAAGGGTTCAAATGTCCACTCTTGTGGCTCTGCTTCAAATCCAGACGGGTGCGTAGTGCACCCGTCTGGTCCGGTGATGGTTCTATCCTCATCGGTCCTCCGTAGGCTCAGTTGAACCTCTCCATAATTAGAGTATGAGTAGGAGTAAGCCTTGATCTAATGATTAAAATTGAAATCTCAAAATGTAATGGCTATAAATTCCAATCCCCTATTCTTCTCTGCATCTTAAATGCCACCCCCTCCTTGCTAAAAAAAAAAAAAAAAAGCGTTGTGCGTGCTCGAGCCTACGTGAATATGCTTGTTACGTAATTTAGTTCACATAATAGCTCAAAATCGGGGAATGGTATAG